AGTGAAACGATATTTAATTTAATTAATTATCTATACGTGAATAATCTATGGTTTTTGTTTGAAGCTTTTTGAAGTAGAACAAGCGCATTAGTCAGACCAAGTGAGAAGACTACGTAATTCTTTCATTAAGATGTATATATTTCGTACATTTAAGAACTTCCTGTCACAAATGGCTCACTTAATGCACGTCAAATTTTCAAATAAAAATGCTTATTAAATTTTTTTATATATTAAAAGCAACACATTCAAATATATCACATATTTGAGATGGATTATGAGAAATTGTGAATAGATAAAGTAACGAATGAAAACGGAATGAAACTATACTATATGCGCTGAATGTTAATCGCTTCATATCTTCTCCATAAGATAAATCTGACAGGAAGAGAAAAAGTAATTAATGTAACCTCCTGTCGGATAAACGAGAGACAAGAAGGCCATCGGTGCAAAGGTCCACTTTGATACGAAAAAATAACGATGCTTCAGTCAGGCAGAAAAAAAAACAAGCAAAGTCGTTTAGTTGCAATCAGGAATTACGTAAAAATCGAGAATTAATTATATTTGCATACGCAATGTGTCTCACCATTTCGCGCCAATCGGATTCCGATAGGAGGAGCAAATCGATATTCGCGGTGAAAGTCATCTCTCATTCGGTTCAGTAGGACGCAAGGAAACAATTATGCATGCAGCATAGTAAAAATCATCTTACGGTAAAACCGCACGCGCCGAATAATTTACGATCGCGATTATCTGTTTGTAAAAAAATCGGTATACAAAAATATCCGTCTTCGTGCTAAATATTCAGGCCATGAATCTCGGTTTGATAACGTCGAATGCGAGCTCTTTACATGCGGCTAATAAAAAAAAATATGGCAGAAAAATGACAAAATTATCGGCGAAAGAGTACCGAAAAGTATAATTTTTCGTCCGTCCGATCAATCACCTGCTCGTTTCACTGACCTCTTGGTCGGCCGATCGAAACCGGCGACTTGCACGTCAGTGAATTCCGTCAATTATCAATTACGATCGGGCAACGCCAAGGTCGGATCTACGACGTGTCCGGTCACACGCCGCCGCCATCGTCGTCTTGGTTAGACCTATTGGGCTACATGGTGGGCTCATTAAACAACCGAGAGCCGAGAGGAAGCGCGGCACTTTGAAGGAACCCGCAGTTCGGACACCTCCTTCCCTCCTCCCTCGTCTCACTGTCTTGCTATTTGTAAAACGCATTTGACGCTTCGTACACACTTCTCGAGATCTCCGTAATGACTGCTACTTAGGCTATAATCGCGACAATGTTGCAAGATTGCGACATCCGACACTAGTATCATTATTCATTGGGATCTCTATTTTACATCTGAATTTATTTTAAGCCTATGATCTTAAGAAACGTTTGTTTTTTTTCACATGTTGCGTGATAATAAGATTTGGTATTAAAATAAAATATTAAAATAGAATTAAAATTATTAATGTTTTTTTATATCTCGTTTGCATACTTGAAACTCACAACGATCCAGAGACAGAGAGAAAAAATGAAGAAAAAAATGCTGACACAACTAATAATGATCGATCAAAGACTAAACGTGTACTTTACAGATTCTAAGATACATATTTCGGTCGTTGCCTTGTTTCCCGCCAAAAGTAACGCGATCTCGTTACGCCTACGCAAAACGAGAGATAAGAGAGCCGATCATGCTACGTAACCGGCGAAGTACCGCTGCGAGCGAGAGGCAAGCCGGCGATACGTAATCATCTTACGAGCCGACGCACGTATGTGTCTGGGTCACGAGCGAGCACGTGTGTATGTGTCATTCCGCGTGCGCGCGCCCGCGCACACACGCACGTGGTTCTTCCGCACGCGCGTGCACCGCGCATCGCATGCCCGTACGCTTCTCATGTATATGTATACATATATTACGTATGGACATATAGATGCGCATACATGTACATATATACGCGGCCGATAGACGATGTCGCCATGTGGTGCAACATACTCTGAGACGGCAAACAACGCGGTTTTCCTGCCGAGCAACGACGTCGCACCGCGGATTCCAACGCTGGTGGCAATTACGCGCGCGGAATACTCTCCAGTATAATTTACGAAAGGTATGTCCCGATTCCGCGGACATACAGATATTTAGTTATAGACGTAACCGCGCGAAAAAACGCTCACTGTCATTAAAATTATCTAATCTCGCGTTCACGATATTTGCCTAATATGTTTGCGTTTAAAAAATCAATATTATATACATATTTTTAAAATATTATAATTATAAAATAATAAACATATTTAATTTCTAACAAATATTTTCTAATGATCAAAAATAAAAAAAATTTTGCATATTTTTAAATTTTACATAAATTAGCCTTTATTGTTTAAATTTATTTGTATTCTTATCGCATATATGTTCGATGTAAAATCTTATGAACAAAAAGTTTGATGATTATTGAAGACAGAAAATTTTCTACTTTTTGAGTTTCAGCAAATAATAATATAAAAATACTTTGAAAGTATTTATACAAACAATACATATTATTGCTTATATTTGCTTCATGAGAAATAGTATTTTTACTATTTGTTACTATCTGTTTTATACTATCTATATTTTTATATCTATTTTAAAAAAATTATTCATTGTACGTGAGGCTTATTTAAGTTATGCAAGTCGCGCGCACAAGTGCATATCTTCTCGCAGGCAATCATTATAGTTAGATACGGTATCGTGCGACACGTGAAGGAACGGCGCCTGTTACGAGAAAAATTTGCGCCATGTTCTGCAAGCGCGAAAAGCCGTGAATGATGATAATCGCATGACTCACGATAATGATAATAACGATATAGGCATGTCAAGATTTGTTATGCAATCATTAAAATCTTTTCCTTTCTGTCCAACGTGCGAGCAAATAATCGATAAAAAATAAGATGCTTTTGTAGCAATATTCAATTTAATTTGCATTTTATTGTCGGAAATTTTGATTGATATGATTTATTAGAATTTATATGCCTCGATGAACTTTTAAGATAAAAAACTAGAACTACGTAACATCTCTCTTCGTACTTATAAATAGCGGATTTTTTCCTTTCTTTATTATTTTTTACTGTGATGTAATATCAAGTCAGCTAACTTGTCAATTTTCAGAAAGCTGAACAATCGTGATATTTCTAAGAAAACTGCCGTGTTAGAGATTTTAGAGTTCGTGATGTATAAATCGATAAGATAACTTTTCCCCGACCTCGACACAATTTTGCGAGGCGCGTGAAGATACGTCGAGAGGAACCTTTCAACGATCGGGTCGTCGCTATACGGCAATCTATCAACTCTTGCTCCTCGGTCGTCGATGGTAATCAGTAATCATTGGTGTCATTGAGAGAGAAACAGTGCCGAGAGAGGCTGGCAATTAAGTCACATTTACGATGCTGCCAAGCGTGCTCGTGCAACATCCTTCGTCAATATTGACTCAAGACACGAAGAATGACGATGCGGCGCGAATCAGACTTTATTGTCTGCGGTATTTTGAAAGAATGCACGAGTACGCTCGATATTTTTCATCTTGTACCATCGAAGAAGAGAGAGAAAGAGAGAGACAAGGCTCTATATGCTACACGCGAACTGGAGAAAAATCTACTCCAGTGAAGGAGCGTCGTGCGCGGAAACGCATATCGTACATTTAATGATTGTTTAGCGAAGACGGTAACCGTTTCGCTGAAATACACCTCGAGCGAATACACACTGCAAATATATCCTTCGAGTTCTAGAAATACCATCGAGCGCCTACGGTATGAAAATTCATAGAAGATTCATACGGTGCGGTTAGCATAGCATTTACAAGTTAAACAGATTTTAAGGATCGTGAAAGGGACGAAAATAAACTCCGAAAGATCTCATCCCGCGCGCCCGAGTAAATAAACTGCATTTATACGAAACAATCAATGTTCCGGCGCAAATTTGCATAATACTCGAGGTCTGTGTGCGAGAGATAAATAAAAAAAAAAAAAAAAAGAATTGCACAATACATTATTCACACGCGTGATCGATGGCGTTGCCGTTCAATAATTGTGACCGCGAAGACGCTAAAATGAATTTGCGTCACGGGTGATGAAGGTGATACACGTGTGATGCCGCAACGTTAATAAGAAACGCGAGATGATGCGTTACACCGTGTAACGCTCCGCGAAATCCCGGCCGCGGCTCGTTATTTCGAAGCCGATCTGCGCTTTATCGGACGCGGAACAATTTCTCGGCGCGTTTTCTTCATCTCTCGTTGCTTTCCTTATTTTTTTTCTCTCTCCTTTCCCTTTTCTCCTCGCACTGACGAATCAATTCCACGGCGCGCGGCACGAAATTCTCACGGGATCTCTTCTCTTGCAATAAATTACTGCCCGAGGACATTGGTCTGCCGACCTCAGCGCACGAAACGAGTTTCTCAGTCGTCGCACTCGCGCTCGTGTTTGCACGATGACGCGAATAATCGAGTCTCTAACGATTAATATAACAACGCTCATGCGGGTACCCGAATTTTGGCCGACTGCACTTTATAAGCACGTTCTCGCCCCGATTCTCGATATCGTATTAAATGCGCGATATATTTTGACTAGCGCAAGTCTATTTGCATTTTTTCTTTGCAACTTCTTACTTTTTATCGTGAATTTTATCTTCGACAATTTTGATTGCAAATTAATAATTATTATAATAAATATTATATAATTATAAAAATGTAATTTTTTATTTCCAAATAATACATAAAATAACCGTGCTTCTTTAATTTTAAGCTTATTGCAAATGTATATTTAATTATCACAATATATATTGTGAATATATTTTTATAAGCTAAGTTTTTACAGGTCACGCAGCTGAGAGATGTCGTATAAAGTTTCTCAAATTAAAATAGTCATAGATTTATTATATACCAGTAAAGCTTAATGAGAGATCGTTCCTCGTTTAAATCCAAGGAAATTCGACAGAAAAATTCAAGATATCAAAGTGTATTGAGATATTTACCGGTTTCGGAGAAAGTGTCTCGTCTTGTTCGCTCCATACTTCTAGATTGATGGTAACAGTGATCACTGAGGGTGTGTCTTCTGATATCGCTCTCAAGGATTGACGTCGATAGCTGATCTTCTTCCTCTTCTTCCTCTTCTTCCTCTTCTTCTTTTCTTCTCCGTCTGTCGTTACTAAGCGACGAATCTCTGCCTGCTGATGCTGCTCCCTCCGATATGTAGTCGGACAATTTCTCATTTTTCCATTCTCTACTTATCCGAATGTTTGAGAAAATTTCTTCTTCGTCTGCCACGGAGCTCTGTGGCGATGTTGATCTCGGTGAGTCGCCGTCGCTTTCAAGATTCTTGAGAGTTCGAGATTTTGTACAGGAATTATTTGACGGCGGATTCGCCAATGAATGTGCCGCAGAAACAATCCTACTATTGAATACGGGATTTTTCAGAAGGCTCCTTGGCATACTTCTTGGCAAATTTTTTGGACACCAGAATTGTGTCCGCTCTATTTTTACTAGAGTTGGTTTACTGTCAACATGGTCTTCAACGGTGGAATAATTGTGGGATAATGGTGGAATAAACGTACGCTCAGTCTTAACTTTCAAACTGTCCTGCACGTTCCACATACGATCCATAGACTCTTTTCGCGAGAATATCTTGTGGAGATGATAATCGGAACAACATCCGTCACAATCATGAAAGTTCTTATAGGTCCTCTCAGTAATGCCTGACAAGGAGCAGTCATTCCAGCAGGTGAGGAAGGAACTAAATACTCTGTTTTCCATATCTGCGTTTTTTTGATAAATATCATTTTCAAGTTGTACAATTTGGTCATCCACCTCGTCAAACTTTCTCCTTTCCGTCCAATCTTTTTCCCTTTTAGATTCTTCCGCTTCTTCCTCGAACGTTGTCGGTTCGGTTCGTATTCCTGAAAAAAAAGACAGAAAGAAAGATTAATATTTATAATTTCTTAAATATGAAAATTTATAAATTTTTTTACGTTATGTAAATTAATAAAATTACATACTATATATATTTAATATGTGTATGCTCAAAGTTAAGATGCGTGATTTTATATTATTTTCAGACGAATAGTTTATTAATCTTAGCCTTTTTTTAGCGATTTAACCATTTCACGAAAAATCGCGAAAATATGCATTTATTTCCTAACTTGCCGCCGCAAATTATAATACTTTGCTTCAGCACGATAATGTAGCACGTATCATAATATCAGGACATTATCGCGTGTATTGTGTATTAACGATAAAATAATAATATGATTAATAGATTTGCAAATATGTGAATGAAATTGTGATCATCAAATGTACTATAAAAAATCTTCGATACATATAATTTTTCATCGCGATCTTTCTCCTTGTCTCTCAAAGTTTTTTAGAATTAATGAAATATATGTGCGCACATGCAAAATATGTACATACATAAAATATATAATAATTAATAAAATACAATCTATTGTAATATTTTTTCAATGTATAATTATTAATAATATTCATTGTTGCAAATTGAATTTATTATCCCAACTGTTTATAAATGACAGATGATTATAATGATGTCACAATGTCAAGCTTTTAATTTGCAAAGAATGTTCTAAACTCTCTTTCAATTATATGCGATATACAATCTTAAGAATCTCTGCGGTACATTTCGTTATTAGATATATGCAATTCTTAACGTTACTTTCTAACCAAACACGTGTAGCCTCAACAAGCATCCAACATCTCTTTCCAATCTAATTCGATCTGTTATATAGCATTTCGTAACTGAGAAACATAGTATAGCTTGCTTCTCCATAAGTACATTTGTACATGCATTCTATACTGATATTTTCCTTGGTAATCAATTAGAATAAAAAACGAATTAAAAACGATTAATTAAGATGATTCGTTGAATATCATATTTTATGTTTATTTAATATTTAAAATATATACGTAAGTTAAGAGCAAATAATGAACAAGAAATATAGGATTATATAACATAGTTGATTTCTTTATAATGCAGATGGTAAATATAGGTCAATCTAATATCAGATTTTCAAAGTTCAATTCGAGACCTAAGCAACGAAAGTATTTTACAGTAAATAAATAAAATACAATCAAAGATATGCGGAACAGGCAGTTCTGTTATACGATGACTCATTTCTTCCAGCGTGTGTGTATCTCAATGTGTTGGAATTCGAGATCGCAATTTCATCTAAATAGATGAAAAATAAAGAAATGACGTGTGCGGGCAACTTGTGAATGAATCATAATAAAAAAATTAGTTTTACGGATATTTATTGATTTTAGCATATCTTTCTTCTATCTCGAAATTTATCATAAATTTAATCTTTAATTAAAAATATTCTAAACGATATTATATGTAGATATAGCTCTTGTTATATATTCGTCTCAATTATTTTTCTACCTAGATACATTTATGATAAGATAATGATAATTATTATATCCATACACATTTATACTTTGTAATTGATTCATTTCATAACAGCACGTGATAAATAAGACATGCTAAAAATGTGACAGTTCTCAGGTTCTCAGAAAGAAAGTAGAAGATAGGACTTATTTAAACTTAAAAAGAAAGAAACATTATATAAGATCTATTTTGGAATAAAAATAATATGCAACGCATACAATTTAAAATAATTTATATAAAGATATTATAAAAAAAATAAAAAGAATAAAAAAAATATAATTGCAAAAAAATTAAATTACAACATGAAAAGAAAAATAAAGGAAAATGGAGAAAAAAGAATAAAAACAAAACAAAACATAGAGAGAGAGAGAGAGAGGGAGAGAGAGGGGGAGAGAGAGAGAGAGAGAGAGGTTCCAAATGTTACCAAATGTAACGTTTCTTATTATTTAATATATATTATTAATATCAAAAATCTTAATATCTTTATTAAAAACTTATAAAAAAATCTCTTTAAAAATATGTAATAAATATAAAGCTCACAAAAATAATGTAAAAAATTATGTGTATCTTATGACATCCTTTATCCTAATTTCATACGTTTTGGGTAATATTGACAGTTTCACGAAGCAGTTTAAAGGTAATCAGTGGGAGATCACCTTAGTATAGCCTTGAGACCTAAATAAGGATTATTTTGCTAACTTCAGGGTGAAAAAAGATAAACTGCTCCCGTTCATAGCTCCGATCACGCGGATAACAAATGATCGCACAAGCAAACAAACGTGTATGAAAGAGGAAACTATGTAATTGTTTGCTATGTAAGATATTTTATTTATGAAAAATCCAATTCCTTATAAAAGTAAAAAAGAACATGTATCTCTCTCTTTTTTATCAATATATAATTAAAATCTATATAAGAAAGTTGTATGGAGAAGAAAATATTTTATTAACGAATATATTTGATGCTTTTTAGCATCAAAATATATTTATTATATAAAAATAAATTAAAGAAAATCAAAGTAGAAAATGATGAAATTTAAGAGTTGGAAAACATTCTGGACAATAAAGTCACAAATAATACCATCTATAGATATATTCAAGGCATTCTGTGTTTCGAATGTCACTTGCGTACTGGCACTCGTATCAATAAAGTCAAAATCGGACGTCACATTCCAGCATCATAAATTACAATATCGTTACGTATGGCAGATGATGACAAATTGTCAAATTCGTTAATTTTATACTTTACAGTAACAAAACTTTCACTGATATATATAAAACAAAAGATAAGGATATTTACATAAAGCTAATAAAGCTTTTCTCTCAAACTATTAATTGAGTTTAAGAATCAATCTAATTAAACATTGTTGAGTGATATTGAATTTTGAATTTTTTCTTGTTTAATCCACTGACACCATTTTCTAGTTTTGCGATAAATGACGATAGAAATCATTTATTTAACGCGAAGGAAATATTTTAATCATTTTAGCTCTCATAAACTATCACATTGATTTCTATTAATTATATAAAAAACTAATTAAACATTAAAAGATTAAAAAACTATATGTGTAGTATGAGATTGTATAAAATGATAACAAGTGCTATATTTTACATAAAATCGTTATCTTTAATTGATTCACTGTTGTCGATACTTAAATATAGTTGATTGCGGCTAGCATGTAAATAGATGAGACAGGTCAGTAACATAGCATCTCACACACACACACATATACACATATATGGAGATAGGTTAATACTATGACGTCATAGAGATAGGTCAGTGTCACAGGATTTACAGCGGACGTCGATTTTTATGAGAGAAACCGAATAAATAAAAAAAAATTGAATTAATAAAAAAAAATATTTTTAAATATAAAATTACTTTCAAATATTTTTATAAACAAGTTGAATCGAGTTTATATTATTACTAATGGACTGTAATCTAAATTACTCATCACATAACTTGTATTACACATATATATACATATGATATATATATTATCTGATATTAATAAAGACGAAATATAACTTTTAATATATAGCCTGCGCGTTCACACATTAAATTTAATTTCCTGCCGGCTATCGGAATTTATCCCGTTTATTTGTGCTCCGGGTCCAAGGACGCAGGACGTCGGACACTTTACTCACGGTCTTTCCCCTTTAGGAAAAGCAATTTCACCGGCGCGGCGCGACACAAAATCGCTGTGTGTCCAAATGCGTGTGCGCGCGCACGGAGAGACGGCGGAGAGAAATTATTCGTGCGATCTGATAAGGAGCCGCTCTCGTCCGGACTTTCGAAAATGTACGACACACACGCGAGCGACACGATCAGCGATCGAACGTCTTCCTCGCTGGCTACACCAAGTCGCGAGAAACGAAAAACCGGTCCAAGTTTAGATAGGTGGATAGAGGTAGGTATATATGCGTGCGTGTGTGTGTGTGTGTATGTGTGTGTGTGCGCGCAGCCGGCTTCTGCCGAACATATTATCGCTCGAGCGTATAACGAGCCGACAACTTTTCCATCGAATGCTAATTAAGGGCGAGCTGCAGATACGAAAAGCCGCGCCCGGTATGGCGAAAAATTGACACGCTCGGCTGCTTTGTCGATTAAAGAGACCGAGATCACGCACTGCTTTTTTTTTATCGTTGATCGATGAAAGCGCAACACGCGCCAAGTGAACGACTATTTTTTATCGTGTCAACCGACTTTATCACTACGCGTGTCAAACGACAACACGCCGCATCGGCATGCCGCTAAATAATCGGGTCAAAGTTACGCTCGCGAAAGAAAAAAATAGCAATTCTCGGAAGTAAGCCAGAAAAAATATGTTACAGAAATAAATGAAATTATAGTAAAGGCCGTTTTGGCAGCAAAGCCGCGATTTTCAAAGAAATTGCACGTTCGTGATTTTCGAAGAAGAAAATAAATGCATATTTTTCCTCCATACATAGCTACATGAAGATACAAATTTTATATTTATTATAAAAATGGAAAAAAGAGAGACGAATTTATTTCTGATTTCAAAATTAGTTTAAAAAAAAATGCTAACAGTTTTTAAAGTTCTAAAAATATAAACTTTGCACACGTTCAAGACTAGTCTAACAATAAGACTAATTGTTAGATAAGATATTATTTATATCTTATTATTTATGATAGTAAAGTTGTGATTATACAAAAATTACGCAATCGTAGTTTTTTTCAGATGGAAAAATAAATGGGACAATACTCTTCCTCCTTTCTCCCTCCGAATGATTATATGAATAGATAAAAAGGAAAGACCGAAATGTGAAAGACCCGCATATTTACTCGTGCATTCTCCTTTGGAAATCAAAGAACCCGAACATGAGTGACAGAATTCCCCGTCTACTTTTATACTAAACTAGATATCCGAGATTAGCATGTTTGACATTTCCTTACGATTGATATTATTTACGAGGAAGAAGCGGGAGGATGATCGATCGGATGAGTGAAACAGAGGATTTGTCGCGGGATTCACGTCGGGTTTGCTTTGGAGAAGGCTACAAAACTCTTCTTTCTTCATGTAAATAAAACTTGCATTATCGCCCCTAGATCGAGAGCCCCTTATTCCGTTCGTTCATTTCCGCTCGCGAGAAACAACGCGAACGTCTCGCCGGCGATCTTCTGTCACGCTTCGTAAAGAGCTTTTAAAGAGCGCTAAATCGGATTCTTACAAACGAGCACACATCGTACACTCATTCCCATCGATTTCCGATAAACTCAATGGAAGTAGGAAAGTTCAATGAACTATCGACGCGAACCTGCGCGACAATAATAATTACAAAAGTTATACGTCATTCACGTATCTCTATATAATTTTTCTAGTACGCTTCTTCGATGTTATCTCAATTATTGATTTAACTGCGCTCTTCGGCGATTATGTCAAAAGGTTAAAAATAGAAAAACCAGCGAGATAAAATTTCTAAGAATAGACTGGAATAAAGAGTCCGATCTCTCGGCGGGAGTTTCCACGAACGAGCCTCGCCGCGGTTGATCTCGTAATCGAGCGTAATCCGAGCCGGATGTGTAACGCCGCCCCGCCCTTTACCGAGGGAAACGGTTCCTCTCCGCGTCCCGCGTATATATATATATATATATAATATTACTCGAAGGGTAAATAAGGAGGAAGAGATTCGCGCCCCACGCGTCGCGTCGGCCGGCCGGCCGGCCGGCTTCCGACAGTTCCGCGATCCCATCGATCGCGGACGACCGGCCGAGAATAGCCGCGCCGCGGCGCGTCGCGTCGCGTCGACGTCTCTCGCGCGCGCTCCGAATCGAGGGAGCGCCGCGACGCGGAGCGCGTCACCGCCCACGCGGCGCGACGCCGCGCCGGGAGATGCGATACTCTCTGATGAATGTAAATGCAAAGTACCTTTGTAACGCAAGTCGTCCTTCCCATTCTCCGGAGAGTCCTTCGCGACGAGTTTCGGCGTCTGAGGAGACCGAAGTCGCGGAGGCTGGTGAATCTTGCTAAAAATGTGACACACCGAAAAAGAAGGATCCTCGAAAAAGGTAATTTTTTTACTCTGCCACTCGGCAGAGATTCGGGAATTGAGGAGGTCTGCTGGATGAAAAGGGAAGCTGTTGATGTGCATCAATTCCATTTTAATATCCGTGAGAGCAGAGTATCCAACAAAGATTCAATCGTATGAACACACTTTTTTGCACTTCTCACTTCGATAACTCGCCGACAAGACACGTTCGATTATCTCAAACTATCGTTATATATTTATATAGAAATATATATTATTTTTCACTATATTTACACTTGCTGTAAAACTTTTTCACTGTTCCTTCTTATCTGCCGCGCAACACGAATCTATGTTAATATGCAAGAATAATGTAAAGTTGCGCGCAACGCGCACGCGCGCATAAAATTCGCAAGAGTCGTGTGTGACTCGCGTTTTGCACAGTATAAGCGTGTGTATCTATTCCTATTGTATCCGGTGTTTTTGCCGGTTATACGTCCTGCTCGCTTTCCTAGCGCTGTCACGAAACGACACACCACTGACGAGACTACTACTGTGACCACTAGTACTACGGTTGTTACCGTTGCTACTGCCACTATCGTTCTGTGTCAGGCGAGGGATGAATTTCATTATCGGCGCGATTATAAGACGACGAGGCACCGCTGGCTATCTCTTGTACTTGTCACACGCGAGCGCGCTTCCGATCGACACCAACCGACCTTTACTCTGAAGCCGGTCAAAGACGACTGAATACATTTGCGCTCCGTGAACTATTTATGCTTCTTCTCCTACCATCGCCGATGTTCGCCTCCCGCCAATGCCGGCATCTTACTGCGCATGCGCAGGGACAGTACCGCATTGTCAGTGTGTCAGGAAGGACGTATCTTTTAATTTGGTCCACGCCAAAATTTTCAATATCGATATTATCCTAATTATTGTATTAATTCTCCCATCCAATCGAGGGACGATCGATCAGTTGATCAAGTTTAAAATTTCGAAAAATCAAGAGATTCCCGCCACTGACAGGTATGCTATTGACATATATATGTCACAACAATATGTATACATGTGTCACTTCTGAAAACTATCGCTCAATGTTTCCAACTTTTTTCTTCTCATTTTTTTTTATTTAAATATCTGCCTTAAAAATCTCGTTTAGCTAGATTTTACATTTTCAATATGTCATCGATTTTTTATTTCAATTTTCGAAAAGAGTAGGACATTTTTTTATCTAAAAATAATATAGACATCAAGTTTTTATTAAACAATTCAATTATTTTAATTGAAAGTCATAATAACTATAAGATATTGTTAACTTTTTTAACTTACATAATTGTTGCGCTTAAAAGATGAGAGAGATACGGTTTCATAATATAAGAAATTAAGTTTCTTATAATTTTCTGAAATCAAAATTTCATTGATTGATTGATATCATATTCTAATGTATATTTGATGTTTTTCCCCTTTCACATTTCCGCGTTCACATGCTTACAGATAACATAATATTGTTATACTTATAAATCAAATATGAATATTCTCAGGAATTTTCTTGGCCATTAATACTAAACAGAATATATTATATAAATATATCAATAAAATAATAGTAAATGACCAATATGATAATTAATAGAAGCATCAAAAATAAAGTAAATGGGAAAATATCATAAGAGGAAAGATATTAAGTATCAAACCATTTCGAGCTTGAAAAAAAGGGAAAATTATAATATAGATTCAATATTATATTTATTTGCCATACATATGTTAGAATATCATTTTGTGTAATTATTGTGTAATTACATTTTAGCTAGAATAACTTTTTCAATAATATTGCAAATCGAAATTTTTAACTTTACATTCTTTAAATATTTTTTACGAATTAAGAGAAGATTATTGAGAAATCTTATTTTTACTGAATTTTACCTTCGATAAACAAGATAAGAGATTATATTCTCATTATTACAAATGCCTTTTCTTTGATATTTACATTTATTAAATAATATTATCACCATATCAACGATTCTAACATTTAGATATCGCATCGTATAATCGAAATTATTTATCGTTGCTTATAAAAACACATCCAAAAAATAATGTTTTATCTCATAATTTTCCTTTTTTTCTTTCTCGTGAGACATATGTTTTGCTTTCCTATGAAAAAATATTATCTATATAAAAATAATTTGTATAATGACTCAGAATCCTTTCTTACATGATAACTGTTACTTCAAAGAAGGCTAAAGTTTTCTCTCCGAGAGGACCGTAAATATTATGTTAGTCCTTATCATTATAAGCTCGAAACTTATTTAATCAGTGAAAATATTAAATTAACGCGCTCCAAGGAAGGGCCCGAGTCGAAAATCACTAATTGCACGCTCTTGTTCGTTCAACGAAAGTTTGCATATATCGCACGTCTCCGATACACATTGACGCGTTCAGCTATCGCGCTTATTGTTTCCGACACAGCGGGATACCTCGAGGGGTACCTCGTGTTTACGACAACGGGTAGGTAGGAATCTTTTGTGCAGTCGCGATACGTTAATGGTCTCTCGCAACATATAGGCATGTAACGTCGTCGTCTGTACGTAGAGTTGATCATGGGAGAAACGCAACAGGAGAGCGTGGTTGCGGTCAACCTGTCGGAACCTGTGCGGATTTAATACCGTTGTCGGAGACAGAGTCTAAAATTGTGGGCTCGGAAATGTCATCTCTTTTCACGAGACGCGCTTCTTCGCGAAACAATATTTCTATACCTACTTTTGGCGACCGTGCGTAAACAATACAAGGGATTAGTCAGATCATCCTTGGCCCCACAGGATGTATATTCACAAAACAAGCGTGATCAAGTGACGGGAAGATTTTAACCTGAGTCCCCACCTATTGAAGAAAATCCTGATTTATAGTCATTTTGACAGATGCCATTGCATAGTTATCTAAATCTTCAACTCTTAAGTCATTAAAATTTTATAGACCCCTAGCTTTCGATATTGTTATCTTTTTCTATATTGAAATTTCTTTTAAAATTTGTTTTCACAAAAGAATCGATGGTCCTACAGATTACTTATAGAATTTAGTGAAACTCTATTTTCATAAAAAAGTCCTTTGTGTTTTTGTTGACCACTTTAGACATGGAGGCATTTTTTATTAAAATTATTTAATTGATCTTTTTTGCACTAGAAGAATAACGCTATATCTAAATGAAAAAAAAGAAAAATGCTGTATGACACATTGCAGATTAATCATTAATTCTTACATGGTTTTATGTGTGTGTGAGATAACGTATTCTTGCTATTTTACAGCTATGTCACAATTATCATCTTCCATACTATTACGAATATCATAACGCGGACAAGCGTGCTGTTCGGTTATTATGAATACGCATTGCATTTCCGGCCTTTTGAACGTAACCCAATAACAACTTCCTTTCGTTGCGCGATGCATTTCCGAAGGAATTGCAAGCATACGTATGTATGCGTTCAATAATACCTCTGTTTACGTTCTATACAAAATAAAATTGTTCTTGATTATCTCGATGATTTTTCTATAACTGATTGAAATAGACTACATTTTTTCTAAAAAAATTCCAGGACAATTATAAAATCATATGTTACAATTTCATATCTAATTTGAATCTTTACATCGGATAACTCAAACCTATAAAATTAATTCTGTAACTCAAAAGTTATTTGATAAATAGGGTTTTAACCCTTCAAATGTAATCTAATTTGCGTCAAATTTTCACTCTTATAAAAATCACCGTTTGTTTAAGACACGCGTGTCTCAATACATTAAGTACACAAAAATCGAAAAATTGATTAAGAAAATATAAATAAAAATAATGAACGATGCATTAAAATTAAAGTTAGGTAGTACAGATAGGAATTAGCATTAGCATGCATTTGAATGATAAACGATTGCAAGTACAATCGCGGTGGAGTTTTTTGAATTTTCCGCAATCACATAAAAGCCTATACGTTTCTTTTTATTGTGCAAAGTTGTGTGTCGTCGGATTTTCCGCCCTCACGGAAATCGCTTAGCAATTTTCCGAAGCGGAACGAATCATGTCGCGTATGTAGGAGTGAAACTGGCAGATACATCTTCGAGGATCTTGTTGTTTATGCCAGGATTATTCATATCCAAGAAAGCCTGCGATTCTAGGTCGCTGGAGCTCTCTTCGTAGGTGTATAATCCGTCGACTTATCATTATTGTCGCGTGAGCGCGATGCATCGTGTCGTCGTTTCCGAAACGATAAATTAGCGCTTGTCATTTTTCCGACGTTTGCAACGTTGACAACCCGAGAGTCTCGTGGTTCGCGCCGAAGCCCTTGACACATAATGTTGTGCAACTCATAGCGGTGCGGAAAAAACGCGTTACATCACATCCAAGGGCCGCTTGACAGACGTACACAAACGTTTCTTGTGAATCTTCATTGACGGAAACGAAAAACATTAATCAGCAACAGCATCATTATACACGGGATATTAATGCGTTGATTAAAGATGCTTTGATCAAAGATTATCAATAATTCTCATCTTTAGAATTAAAAGAAACACGTTTTCTTATGGATTTGCTGGTAATGATATTAAATAATGTACAAAAAAAAATTCCCTTTGTAATCTTTTGATGTAAAAAGGACTCCTGAGTGAGGGATCGTGCTTGATAGAACTGTTGCATATTTTATAACAATTATGATATCTTTGCAAAAACTTTCGCCACGTCGTACTGCTAGTTTAATAAGAATTTTCCAATCGAACTCACTCATATCTGTTACTTCGAAAGAATTTTTATTTTCAACGATGATAGATAGATAGATAGATAGACGATAGATAGATAGATTTAGGCGAGCTTGTCTTGTGTACTGAGCGACAACTAAGGCCCTCGAGGACAACATAAACACGACACTCGTTTCAAACTACAGGAGGTCATTTCTTTTTTTTTTTATGATATTGTGTTTATTTTTAAAAGAAAATATTTAACAAAAATATCATGGAAATCTTTTGATAATTTCAGTTTTTTTTACATTCTATATTTTATTATCTTGTGTACTCAAATATATCTATAATTATTTATTTTTTATCTATGATATTATCTTTATTTTTAAGAAGTAAAAGAAGATATTTAACGAAAATGTCATGGAAATCTTATAATACGATTTCAGTCTCTTTTACATTCTATATTTTATTTTTATCCATAAAATTTTTTTTTTAGTAATTTAACTTTTTAAATCTTCGTGAATGCTCTTATTGATAATGAGATTAATATTATGAATTAAGCCTCAAGCTGCCGCTCAAGCGTAGATAAATGGTAAACTTTATTTTACAAATGATATATTTACTGTCTGTGCGAGTGTCTCGACGAGATATTAAATTCAAATGAGATCGATTTGTCTAAAAAAAAAAAAGATGATTGAAATGATTGCGTGATACCAGCTGTAATAAAGCAGACGATAAGACGTAACAGCGAGGCAAAGCAGGATAGTTTTTTTTTTCACCGTGTCCTCGAATAACGCGGCACTCGTATTTCACGGACCATTCGGTTATTTATGCATTAGGCACTCGATACCGCTGACAAAAAAGCCTGCAGTATCTCATTGCGGACCGGATGGAAAAAAGGGACTAAGGCAGAGGTCGATCAGGAGCCGGAGGTCAAATAAGATTCGACTGTTCACTCTGATTATTTCGAGGAGTATCTTAGACAAAGAGTGATTTTTATAAGAGCGAAAATTTAACGCGAATTACATTACATTTGAAGGGATAAAAGCATTTCTTCAAATAATTTTTATCATTTTCTCTCGCGTTTTAATTACAGACGCAATGCATTTTTTATTGATTATTATCGTAACAGAAAGAATATGATAAATATTGTGTGTATGATAGACAAGTTTCGCGAGTTTTTTTAATAATTTATGAAAATCAAATTAATACAAAATTTTTATATGAAAAAAAATTAGATTATTCGAAAGAATCTGTCATTAAAATTTAAATTGTGCATATATGTATAGTACAGTATAATTATATTTTTTCTCTTCTCTAGATATTCTCTAGACTAATAAAAATCGATAAAATTTGATTATCTTTTGGAAATATTGAGAAAAAGTCTGACTAATCAGGTTTATAGAGATTATGATTCACAATTAAGTTTGTAGATATGTGAGACACAACAATCAATATTTAAATAGACATTTAAATATTGATTGTTAAATATTGATTGTTAACAATCGAGTGATACAACGCCCGATTGGAAAAAGACGATGGAGATAAATGATTCTCGACATTTCATACACGATTGGTCTGCTTCGGAAGCACCTCAATATTCGGCTTCTAGATTGAAACATGAGAACGCTGAAAATCGATCCAGTTTCAGAGGTCGATAGAATTGTCACGGTATTATAAAAAAATTAATTTTGACAAGACGTAACCTAATTTGGCATCACACGCAATGCATAACTTTGCATCTTCTTTGTCTTTAATATTTTCATCGACGTGAAAATTAAGAGATTTGTTTTTTCATTTCGATTTTTAATTTGAAATAAATTTTCGGTTTATATGATAAATTGTAAAGATGGCAAATTGTATTTAATATTTTATATTCTTACTTATAAATTTTAATATATTGTTTGTAAAACAATACTTATATAAAAAACCAAATTTTTTTGTTCACTATTTTTTGTCAATATTAGAAAGTCGCTTAATATTACAATTAAACACACACACACACACACACACACACATATGATTTTATATACATTTATGTGTATACTGGTGATGAAATTAATCGAATTCTTTAATTATAAATGTATAGTATTTAATTGTAAATATTTTTCAATTTGGCAGATAAAAAATAATTATTTGTTGCAATTATTTATTTTTAATGTATTTATGTTTTTTTAATATTAACTTGCAATTAAAAACAATTATATAAATTCAAAGAGAAACGAACTTTCTATATTGTATGTTGTTTCCTTACAAAACTATTATATATAGTAACTTTCTAAAAAAATAATGAAATAAAATTAATTTGAAGATAAATTTGTATTAAAAATTTCGGCTATTCACAAAATTCAGGTAAAAAAACTCGGCACTAAAACCATTAATCATGAATTTACTGTTCTTTGAATTTTCAAATTTATAGGTATTCTTCAGTAATACAAAAGACAAAGTATTTCAACTAGACAAAAGTATTGCCGACAAAGTTCAGGTAAATATTCTTGAACCTGGTTAATTTATCATTTTACAACGCCAATAAAATTTAGAAACGATTCCAAGCAATCTTTGGAAAAAACAGGAATCTTTTTTAACTATTTTTGATAAAAAAAGGTTTTTATAAAGGAAGTTCTTTATAGAGCAAACTTATAGAAAAGCGGAAAAAAGTTGAAAATCCTTATTTCTTTAAACAGTTTCTCATGGCCTATGAAAGGACAAATCGCAAGGAGGTAGATTTCTATATACCTGAAGAAGGTCCGAAACGGATATTGTCGAAGTGACAGTGACAGATTTTGCGTGATTTTCAGCAGAAACTCGAAAAATGTACATCTGCGTGAACATATTTTCAACAGCGTCCTTGCATTCTTTGTTAGTCGAAGTTTTCTTTGGATTTACGTAAACGCCGGATAAAAAAATATTTCTTTACATTATTGAGATAGATTTTACAAAAATTTCTTAAATATAAAAATTTCAAGAATTTTATGCGTTTGAATCATATCATATTGTAAGATATTCTTTCCTACTGTCTATACAATAAAATAATTATGCAGAGAAAATTGTTTTGTACAATCCAGGTGATAATTTTCTTATCCAATTGCTAAGGCTGTAGATTCCTACTTCGTATTAATTGTAACAATTTCTTCAATATTATTTCTAAATATTCAATATATCATTATATTCTATTTTCTAGAATAAATTATGTTTTAATTAAAAATTAGAAAATTAATCTGAAATAATATTAATTTTTGTTGAGGTCCATTCTTGTGCTTTATTGTAATATTATTTCTGATATAGATAATAAATGAACGTTCAAACATTTCTGCATTGTTTCTCGGGAAGCAGTGTATTTAATAAATGTCATAAAGATTTGAATTTTTCTCACCATCTGCTGCGATTTTGGTATTTCAACATATACATATCTTAAGATTCGAGACGCTGAAGAAACTGTTCTCGTCTAAATAGAGAGCGAACATTTTGTATGAAAGATTCATCTCAGTCTCTTTCATGCATCGCATAAGGGATTGATCAGCTTTGGCTCGTTATCCCTGGCGAGTCACCTCTTATCCAACCATCTCTTCGCTTGGTTACCCTCTCGAAACCTCCTTTTTCGCGCCACCTCGCTCGTCGTAGTAGCAGCGGTACGCACGACGATTATGATTCCTTTCATTCATTAATCCGTGCTCGCCGCACTGTGCGCTTACTGACAGCATTAAGTATCCGCGGTCGGCTCGGACGGAAGATAGTGAAAGGTAGAGATGGCGGAGAGGTGAAGGAAGAGGAGGAAGAAGAAGACACACATGGGAGATGTGTGGTGGTAGCAGGTCAGTTTGTCCATGTATGTTCCTCGAATCCTCCTCTACCTTTCTCTCTTCCTCTTCGAAGCCGTCTTTCTTGTATCTCTTTTCTTTCTTTCATATATATATCTTCTTCTCTCGTTCGAACCTTCGCACCTCTTTTTTCTTCTCTCCCATCTTATATGAATAACCGGACGGCAGATGACCGCGTGCGCAAGGTCAACCAGCGTCTGCCGCCATCCGACGGATTCGTCAGCGATGACGTCACGAGTAGCGACGACGACCCTTAAGTTAAATAAGACAAGCTAATCGACCTCGTGATTGCAAAAAGGGCATGTCGCGACAAAATTCGATATTTCGAGATCCTTTGGGTTTTATTTCTCGTTAAAGTAACATGGCATATTTTTAATAAGATTCGCAAGATTGCATTTCAAGATTGTATTCTTTCATGAAATTGAGGTCAACTTTTTTCATCGTCAAGGGATTTTTAATCATCAGGGCACAACTATCAAATTATTTACAACGTATAATTTTGGAAATTAATTAGTTCTTTACGTTATATTTTTTCTCAAAGATATATTAATATACTGCTTTTATTTTAAAACAGAAATATCTGCAATGAATTAAATATTAATAATTTAAGCAACAAAATAGTAAATAATAAGCCTATGATTCATCAATTTTTGTGAAGAGAATGTTTAGCTGTACGTGCAGATAATTACTTTTAGAAGAGAAGAACGCATGTGATAATTTATTTGACAAATAAAAGATTTCACTTAAATTAAATAACATTTTAAAATATCTCTGACGCATATTTGCGGTTTGAAAGAAATTTATTACACAAAATAATCATTTTTATATTATCAATTGGAAAACAAAAATTTATTAAATTATCGGTACCTCTATCATTTCGCATGCATAATAAAATAGCTGTCAAAAATTATAAAAACGTGGAATATTTTTTGGTGTTCTTCTTACTTTTAGTGGTAAAAAAAAAAGTTTTAGAAAATGTTTCAAAATAAATTCTTATTCAAACGGTCCTTCCTGCTTATCCTAATGCGTTTTCCTTAAGGTTGCAAAGGGTACGCATTCCTAGAAAGGAAACGATAATGTATAAAATAGCCTAAAGCTTAAGGTTTGCGAAACGACTTTAGCACCGTAGGTTTCTTTCAAAAAAAAGGGAAAAAGAATATTAAGAGGTGATCTAAACGGATTTTCAAAGTTGCATGAAGTTAAGATTACGTTAGGTTAAGAACAAGTCGGTTCGGTTTAGAGCAGGTTAAGTTAGGGATAACCTGGTTTAAGGCTTATGTTAGGAAAGAGAGGGAAGTTAGAAACCAGTTTATTTTACATTTTGGCACAACGACGAGTATGTCAAATATGAGTTAACGATACTATTTAGCTCATATAAAGCTAATAATAAGACAGTACATAGAATAATATAAAACATATTAGTCTTTATGAGAATTACTTAAAATCATTTTTCTCGAAAAAATGTATAAAATTTAAGATAAAAATATAACTGAAACATTGCTTGGGGAAAAGAGAAGAAGATGCGGTTTATTTAACATTCGTATGCCATCGTGTGTTTTGCTAAAAAACATCGAGGGTAGCTTTTCAAAATATCGCGTAATAATTATATGTTACATCATGATGAAATTTCAAACATGTGTTATCGTAAGCGCATCATATCAAGGATACGTATAATCGTAAAATTCTTGAGAGATATATCGAATTCACGTAGCGATAGTAATAAGAGTCTCTCTTATATGTGATAATAAACCAATTGCCAATCTCTAGATAACGTTGACAAAATTTAAAATAATCCAATGATATCGATTTTCTTCCGTTAGTTTTTTAAATTTTAAATCTATATATACAGATGTCGATAATATAAATTGTTTTAACAATTTATAAAAAATAACAGATAATCGTGCGTTTTTGTAAAATAAAGGAATCGAATCTTCGTTCAAGATTAATATTGTTTCAATGTCAGTATTTAATGTATATTGTTTCAAAATCAGTATTTATCAGATAAATGCGAATGTAGAAACCGAGTTTTTATTACATCAAATATTTGTTTTCAGAAAGTTATTATATAAGTCAGAACAGTGAGAATAAATTAACAATATAATCTCTTCAATAATATTACTGAAAAATAAATGTAGAAATCAACTTGTAAATTTGTATGGATTTATATAAACAAAGCTATATATATATATATATATATATATACCACACTTAATTAAATTATTGGTAATTTATAAGAAATAATATTTAGAAAACTCTATGCATACAATTTGCTTCATTATTTCAAAATAACAAGACATTTTATAATTGACAATACTAATCTTATTACGGTAGATTTATTTTAAACTTTTTGAAGAGAAGTTTTGGTATCTTTTTTTTACAATATGTGAAAATTTCGCCGTTCTAGAAAATCAATTTTTGGTATTTTTACTTAACATTATCTTAATAATTCAACAGATCTTGTTAAGAATGATTGTGTTGACAAATCGACAAAGATAAATTTCACAGCGAAATAGAATCCACCAAGAGATCCGACAAGTGTTTTCTCGGGGAGATAGCAGGGAGAACGGAACAGATGACAATAGAATAGAAAAAGAGAATGAAAGATAAAAAGGAGAGCGTGAGGAAAAAAAATAGGCACTGTAAAAGTGTCAGGTTCTAACTATGTTCCGGATAATCGTTTGACCTGTAGGTCGTCAGGAACGACTCGTCACGTATAAGAATAAATTTTTTCGCAGGAAGAGAGAAAACTGGTGATTTTTTGCAATTCACATAAGAGTCTCTCTACCGTTTTATGAAGCTCTGTGACCGTGGGATTTTTCTAATATTCCGAAATAATCCTACCTATTGCTGGCGCTTCTTATTCTAAAATACGTCGGTGTTTTCTCGGCAAAAATGTCAGGTATCAGGTAGAGATGCGGCGAGAGAGAAGTGGCCAAAGGCTTCGGAGAGGACCAGATACTCAGAAGAAGGGTCTATACAGATGGATTTTGCAATACTTGGGTACGGAAATGAACCGAAGGGACGAACAAAGAAGAAGCCGCTCACTGAATAGGAACCTCTGAGTTGCCGCTTAAAGACACGTGCGAGGAGACTGGTGAACAGCGCACTGAGATCTCTCTCAGCAGGCCAAAAGCGCCGGCGTCCTCCGGGGATAATAAAAGCACACCACGTGATATCCGATGAAAATTGCACATTTCCGTAAGTAATTCGAATCTCCGTTTCTCTTTTTTCAAGAAATTCGCAGTTCTGTGTCGATCTTGCGGTGAAAGAAACGCGTTATTCGACGCAAATACGCGGAAAATAATGAAACCATAGGGCGGGAGATGAGTAAATACGAATTAAACCGAAGCAGGTTTACCTTTGGCTGCGATTGTGAATTCGAAAGCTGCTCGAGGGTTTAGGAATTGTATGATAAATCAAGGAAAAAAACAAATTGAGAAAGGAAGAAGAGAGAGAGAGAGAGAGAGAGAGACGTGCAGAGAAAATGACAAAATTGCGTAATTTTAAATGTGACTGGAAGAGCAGGATCTTCATGCAAAGTATATTCACGAATGTGCGATTTAAGTAAATTTTATTTATGTGACTAACGAGATTCTCCCTTCGATGTTAGTTCTGGTAACATTATTCCAATCGCGTAGCCGGTCCTATAAATCTTATTCCTAGCAATGGTTTCTAGCTGAAAGACCTTCGGCGTGCCTAATATATGCTTGCATTTGTATGTGTGTATTTTAAGTATGCCTACCTTTCATTCCGTATTTACCCCTACGTAACTTTTTTTATCGGCGAACGGTTAATATTAATAATAAACAATAAGTCACATCAAATGATTGAAGATAAAGCAGAAGATGATTAAGCTGATTAGAATTTCGAAAGTTTTCGACGACTATCTTATCGCGCCGGCTGTAAGCGTGAATGGAAAGAGCGCAATTTATAATCTGACACATACAAATTTTTATAAGATTTCATTATTTTTGAAGCAATTGAACATTTTATAGAATAATAATTTGTACAGAGTTCTCTCAAATGGCGAATCCTGTCCTTGAAAATCTATAAACGCGATATTGTTGCGCGATAATTCAATTA